TATGCCAAGCAGCCAAAGGGTAGACTATGCTGATTATTTACCTGTTGTCTCCAAGCTCAACACCCTCCACGCTCTGCACTCCTCTCTACTAATGGAATTGGAATTCTGCAAGTGATATTTCCCAGGCTTCCTTCCTTGCAGCTGGCTTCCTGTTAGATTCTATCAATAGAAGGCACTGATAGGAGATAAGAAAAAGGAAAAGAGGTTTCCTGCTTTGAGCAGAGGAAATGCAGCAATTGCTGGCTGTTGGTATAGCGGCAGCAAGAGTGGACGCCAGTAGCCTTTCTATCCTTTGGACTTTTCATTTCTGATAAAAGTGGCACCTGCTTGGCAGATCCAGAACTGACTGTGACAGCAATTCTAACTGTACAGCAGCTGGTACAGACTTGTGGGCTCCAGCTCAGGGGCATGGAACCTTCTGACCTGTGATTAGAATCCTTCTTTTCCCTTTTGCTGTTCTAGCCCTTTTAGTCTTCTGGAACCAATTTCATATATTAAATTCTCTCTTTTTGAAATACCAGAATGGTTTCTGTTTTCCTGAGCAGACCCTGACTGGTAACATTTCTAGCATCAAAAAGAGATAAATCAGCTATTTAAGAAAAGGGTCTATCCTGAGACTTGATCTTCTGGATAAATGAAATATAATCTCCTCCCTCAGCATCCATCTTACCTTTTATTTCCTATTAACAATTGTAGTTTAATAAACTGCATTTATTTTGTTGCTGTTATTGACGGTGTTTTGTTTTAGTCATTAATTTTTTAAGCAAAAATTTAAACACCAAAGCAGAGTAAATAATATAAGGAATGCTCATGTACTTATTACTCAGCTTGAACATTGATCAATTCTGCCATTTTTGTGTCTTCTACCTGCCTCTACGTTTCCCCTCAGAATATTTAAAAATAAAATCACAGGCATCAAATCATTTCACCCATAATTTTTCAGGTGTACGTTTTACACGAGCCTCCTTCTATTTCTGTTATTATAGTTGGACCTCTGTTGTCTTTTGCCTGCACAGGATCCCTTTCTCAGTAGAGGATTCCTCATTTCCTTTTGAGAACTGCCTTCTACAATTTGATGATGCTATTCAACCCTTGGCCTCCCTGACCCCATGCGCACATGACTCAGACTGGTCAGGATGAGTCTTTCTTTGAGGTGTGTCACAGAAGCTAAGAATGAAGGCCTTACTACATGAGAACATGGGCCTTAAGAATCCTATAAGCCTAGAACTACAGAAAGGTTCAACAAGTGAGAAAGCTCACCTAGATATGATACTAATACAAAAGAAAGCCAGATAAAACTGTTCAAGAGACAGTCCTAATGAGATTATTTTAATTCCCAGATCCAGCTGTACCTAAAGCCAATGCTCCCTCTGGATTTTTAGTAATGTGAGCCAACAGATTTCCTTTTCTGCTTAAATTTAAGTTGGATTTCTACCATGTGTGACCAAGAGTCATTTGTCCTAATTTGTGACACTCTCTAAGACTGCAACTATAGCCCATTCAAGGATACTCCATTTAGCAGGGAAAATATTTTTATATATAGGAACATTAATGGAATTGGTGCAATTAAGGTCATCATATCACGAAAACATAGTTTATAACGTTGCTATATTGCAGTTTTTTTCCTTCATATTCCCTGAAGTCCTGGCATGCCTCCACGCAAAGTTTCTGTCAACTTTGCTCATTCAGAAAGTTATGAGTCATTTCTTCTCAGGCTACAATAACTTTATGATTCCTTGCATGATGTCAGAAGTCTTCCGCCCATCTCTAAAAGCTGATCATTTTTTCGAAAGTGTTTCCCTAGCTCAAACCACTGAAAAATACTCATTTTAACATCAAAAGTAGTATTTTTGTTTAGTACTCATATCATAACTTTAGCCTATCACTCACACAACTGTGATAAATCAGGATGGAGCATTCAGCAGAACATGAAGTAATGACAGAAAGTGAGACAACAACCTAGAAAACAGAGTAGTGAGGCCTCTCAGACTCAAGAACATTCAATCTTCTAAATCAGCTCTCATTAGTGCTAACTTTATTGAGCTGGCTGAGCAGTTATTTTAAAAATGCATCAACTATAATTCAGCACTGTATCAAGTTTACAAATATGAACATATATAGAGAAGAACTATAATAAATTAGTGCTCAAGGAACTATGTCTATAATGAAATTTCTTCCATGTTTAATGTAATCCAGGTTCTAGCTAATACTGGGCTTCAAAATTGCAAACCTTCTAGAAATTATATAAAAAAAGACTGAACCAGTTGGCTAGAAATTAGGGCCTTCACATTTTCATTATGCAGCCAAAGACCCTGCGTGGTCCTTATGTGACCATGTCTCCAGAGTACAGACAAACCAGGGATACTATTGTTAACCAACATAGAATACTCAGGATTATATCATACAACTGCCAAAATAAAACATCTGGGAATATTACTAGAGAAGCACTAAATCAATACCTAATCCCTTACTACTATCATATCCTTTCAGTTAAAATCTAACAATTGCTCTATTCTCATTTGAAACATGGTATTAAGTGATGACTTTACAATTTTTTGCTATTATAAATAATGCTGCAACAAGTACCTTTGCACATAGGTCCTTAAGCCCTTGTGAAATAATTTGATTCCTAGAAGGTTGCTAAGTAGGTACACAGATTACTTTCCCAAAACATTATATCAATTTATATCTTTATCAACACCATGGGATAGTGCCCTTTTACTCTAACACTTTCATTAGCTCTGGATAGTATCTCTTTAAAATGCTTTCCATTTACCCTTAGGGAAAACTACCAGGAAAATATCAATACTATTATTTAATATTGTCCTGCAAGTACTAGCCAATGAATTAGGTAAGATAATTAAATATGTAGTATGAATATTAGAAAGGATGAAATAGTTATTGTTATTGCAGATAATGTTACAAATCTTTAAAATGTCAAAGTAAACTTAGAAAACTATTAAAGTAAAATTGTTGGGCTTTTGATATGTTGGAATAACTGGTACTAGACTTGGCCTTCTGCTATAAACAATTAGAAAACTGGACAAAATACATGAAAAAATTGTTTTCAGACAATGAAAACAGGAAAAGTGGGACTGTGATCTCTGTGAGAAGAGAATAAAATTAGATAAGCCTATTATCATTTTGGCTTTCTGGATTCAGAGAGGGGAAATCAAACTTGGTTGAGAAGACAGAGTTAGTATTCAGGAAGGCTGAGGTACCCGGAATTTGTGAGGCAAAGTACCAAAGGAAGTAACACAGGCAAAGAGCAGAATAAGTCTGAACAGGAGTACTCTGGAGTCTGTGCTGAACACAACGTCTGCATATGCAGGATGAAACTTCAAGAGTATGGGTAAAGGACATCGGGGAACTGCAAGCAGAAAAATTCCCAGAGCTCACATAAGGCTGGGAGACATTTCAGATTGGGCCAGCCAGAGTAAAGATTCTTTGCTGAATACCCAGGGCATTTAGTAGAGATCCCCGAAGAGTAACACCTCAGTAGTAGGACTAATCTAACTCAACAGTACAGATCACTATAGAACTGCCTCAAAGCTCAAAAAAAATCTCAAAGTCATCAAGATGATCCACTAGCCAACTCAACTAACAAGTAAACCAAAATTCAAAAGTCTTCAAAGAAAGACAAAAAATTCATACACTCAAAAACATATACTTAGTGTCTATAATTTCGTAAAAAATTACTAGACATGTGAAAAAGTGATGAAAAAAAAACCCTAAACCAAAATAAAGTCAAAATAAAATCAGAAGAAAAATTAGTCAATAGAAACAGACCTGGAAATGAAAGAGATGCTCAACTTGGAAAACAAGGATATAAAATAGTTATTATACTCAAAAAATTTAAAGAAAAACATGAACATATTAAAATAGAAGACATAAAATTTTTAGAAACAAAAAATACAATATCTGAAATAAAAACTTCATTAGACGAGCTTAATAACAGATTATAAACTGCAGAAGAATAATCCATGGATGTGAAGATGTAGCAATGAAAATTATCTGATGTTAAAAAAAAGACTGCCAAAAAATAAAATAATAAAATGAACAGAGCCTTAGTGATGTGTGGAATAATAATATCAGATGGCCTAATATATTTGTAATTGAAGTTCCAGAAAAGGGGAGTCAGAGGCAGAAAAAATATTTTGAAGCAAAGAAGAAAAACAGAAATATACTCTTTTAAGGTCCTTACATTTAATGTCAGAGGTTGGCAAATTTTTTCTGTAAAAGGCCAGATAACGAATGTTTTAGGCTTTGTAGGCTAGTGGTCTCTGTTGCAACTACTCAACTCTGCCATTGTAGCATACAATATGCCATAAACAATATGTAAATGAATGACCATGGTTGTGTTCCAATAAAATTTGATTTACAAAAGCAGGTGGTGATCTAGATTTGTCCTGAAAGCTATATATACACAAGCTCTGCTATATATGAAGTGGTATAACATACAATGAATAGTAAGTGAAATGCACATTGTGATGAGGGAAAATGCATATTGTAAAACCCCCTCGGGCAAGCACTAAATATTAAAACAAAGGGATTAAACTAATAAGCCAATAGTGGAGATAAAATAGAATACTAAAAATTACTCAATATTCTTTTATTGAGGCAGGATAAGGAAAAGGCAGAAAATGAGGGGAAAAGAAACAAAAAAACAGATAGCATAAATAGAAAACAAATAGCAGAATGGTACACTGAAATCCAATTGGTAATTTTATTAAATGCAAATAGCCTGAACTCCATCTAAAAAGATTATCAGAGTGGATGAAAAAAGAAGACTCAAATGTATTCTGTCTATAAGAAATGCACTTTAAATATAAAGATACAAATATGTTAAAAGCAAATAGATGTTTAAAAGTATAACATGAAAACACTAATTGTAAGAGCTAGAATGGGTTATATTAATATTAGACTAAGTTCAAGGCAATACTAAAACTACAAAGTTATTTTATAATCATAAAAGAATTAATTCATCAAGAAAATATAACAACCATAAGTATCTATGAACCTAATAACCGAGCTTCAAATACATGAAGAAAAAATTGGCAGAAGTGAAGAGAGAAATACAAAAATTCATAATTATTATTTTATATTTCAACACTACTCTCTCAGTAATTGATAGAAGGAATACCTGGAAAAATCAATAAAGACATAAAACACTTG